TCATAGTCCATTTGAGTTGGTTCAAGTATATATTCAAATTATAATCCATTACCTAAACATAATCTCTGAGTTTTAATGCTTTCTCTCTCTCTCTCTCTCTCTCTCTCTCTCTCTCTCTCTCTCTCTCTCTCTCTCTCTCTCTCTCTCTCACACACACACACACACACACACACACATATATGCACAGTTCTGGTGGGCTTCATTGAAAGGTTTGGGGGAAGACAAGTGAAAATATAAGTGAAAATGTATATAGTTTGTTTGATTTACTAAAGACCTGCATTGAGGAGTCTCAGCATTTCAAATGTATTTGTTGCTTCATGTGGACAAAGTATCGGCAGAATTATGGTCTTCTTCACCACTCATGAGTGAGTCTCAGCTTCTCTGAGATCTTTGGAAAGAGTCTGCCTGCATTCAGAAAGCTCAGGCTTTGTGTTATGAAAACATTTCACAGCTGAATGCTAATTCTCTATAAGTAACTTCTATCCAAAGTCAATGAATGGTGTGTTCAATGCTTTTCACGCCTGCTTCTGAATTCCATACTTGATTCTTTGCTATATCCTGCAAAGAATCCTGAAATGCATCACATTCCACTGTAGCTGCCTTTTCCCCTCCATTCATAAGTTCCATTTATCGGCTCAACAGTGATTGAAGGTCCTTAAATAATGTGTGGGATTTAAGATTTGATTCACCAAGAGTTTGCGCAAGTCTGTTGAAAAAGCTTTCTGAAACCATCAAATTAAATACAACATTTCACAACATGTGCCACCTCAGCAAATATTAGGCTCTCCGAGTGTACCGCCATTATGACTGACGTTATAATACAGCAGTGTAGGCCTATTCAGCAATGGACAGTTCACACAGGGGACAGGTTAACCCCTAATAAGAAGATTATTTATTGTTGACTGTTGTCAGCCACTGCCACGCTGTACAAAGGGGTAGCAATAGAACTGGTACTTAAACTCTTCCACATGTGGAGACCCGGAAGCTCACCTTGTGTAGTGTGCACCCTCAATGCTGACTCCTTACTGCAGCGGGCTGCATGTCATCCTCTCTCTCTCTCTCTCTCTCCCCTGCCTTTCCTGTCGATCTCTCCAGCTGTCACTGTCTACTAAAACATAAAGTGTCCCACAAATCTCACACAACCAACACAACGCTCATACACTGCAAGATGTAACTAGTCATGGATGCATGAGTGCATGAACATGACTACATAGCAGGCTGTATTGACCCAAAAATATTCTTGCCAAACTTATTTTAAATGATATGTCAGCTACCTCGTAGTGTAGATCTTCAATTTGCCTTTTAAGCCAGGTAGAAGCAGCTCACATATATATATATATATATATATATATATGCATGAATGGAGTATGCCCCAGTCTGTTGGGGAACCAGAGAATTATCCAACTGAAAAGATGGAGGACTGATCAGAGGTTTTGTGGAAAAGATTATGACGAGGTTACCGATTCAGAGCTTGATCAATAAGCTTAAAGACTGACCAAGGGGCTGTCATCAGAGTGAGATAACTGGGTTAGCAAGAAAAGTTTGGATTTAACCCTGAGGTTTTTGCTCACTTTAAACTGTGGTAGATCTCAGCAAAGAGATATTGATTTTCTGGCAGGTTTATGTTCCAATGTAGTTTTTTACTGCCAGATGACACTGTTCAGTAGAGCTTATTAATTGGAATTAAATTTGTCATTGATGGCAAGAAAAATGCTAAACTCTTAACTCTTAAAATACCATGGAAACATACTGGAATTACTTTACCTAAAAAACAAACTTTTACTGCATCACAGAAAGACACCTTATCTCCACACATCCAGTTAAATTTTTGTGGTGGATACAATACGCAAACCGAGGCATCAGCCATGGTGACAGGTTTAGCATTTTGGAATTACTAGAAAGATGTAAGTTCCCCCTCATCCCTTATACAAAATAAATCAGGAAATCAATACGTTAGTGAGAACGTTAGCAAGCTACACAACTTTTTATAGCACCTGAAAATTTACCACAATATATTTATCTGATCTGAGTTTGTTTTTTCTTTTTTTTTCTTTTTTATTGCAATATGTGATAAAATTGTATATTACTAGTCACAGTAGTCTGTGAACATCTCAATTTGATGTCTATACGAGGACTTATGATACAAATAGATATGTTCTACTGCTACTGAAGAGATAAAAACAAAGTGAAATACAATGAAGATCAATATGACAACAACACTGGTTTCTGTCCCTGCTATAATAATAATTATAAAACTGTCACCAGTGGTATCAAAAGTAATTTAGTGTGAGACACATTACTGTAGACTGCCAGCCGGTGGATGATTTCAAGTGTATTATTGAAAACATTTAAATGCTTTTATGTAGCGTTGAGTGGAGACTAAATATGCTCCCTGCTGTGGTGAAGGGCATAGAATCATCACAGGATCATATGGAGTGTTTGTTCTGTTTCCTGCAGTAGAGAACAAACGAACAAATACAACAACACATAGACATGTTTGTAAACGTCAAATCTATCTTTGTCTGATTTCCATAAGCCGATATATATATATGATTGATTGATGAATAATTGTATAATTTTATTAGGTACATTGCTTATACATCCCACAACTTATTAGGGCCATTATAGGTTTAAAAAAGTAATTACGGAGCCAGGGGAGGGGGTATATTCTGAAATTAAAGAGATCATAAATTTGCAGAAAAAAATCAAGAATTCTCTAAGATTAAATCACAAATTAATGAGAAAAATACTCTCTCACAGTTGGTCTATATAATGATGTCATACTAAATGCTGTGCAACACTCATGGTTTTTGCATTAATTATTATATATATATATATATATTATTAATAATGTTATTAACAACCTAATATTTCACACTGCAGCTGGAACAAACTCCAACATACTGTATGTGGAAGCAGCCACACTGAACTAATTCATTCATTCATAATTAGGTAATACCCAGGTTATCATAGTTGACAGTAATGTAGGATTATGAGGATGCAGCCAGGAGATTGTTTGTGGATCTACCGATGCACATTCAACTCGCGGAGGACTCGTATGAGACAGCTGACACTCACTGACTGTTTGTCACTGGTAATAGAGATTCCAGTCTGCAGTGCAGTGCAGCACTTCTGACCATATGCGCTCTCTCTCTCTCTCTCTCTCTCTCTCTCTCTCTTTTAATCATGCTAACTGCAGTTGATCCTTGTTAGCACGTTGGTCCTTGTTAGCACGTTGATGTTATTATTGAGCACACATCAAAGCGCTGCTGTACAGCCTCACAAAGCTGCTAGAACAGCCGTAGACTTAGTCTTGTTTATCTTGTGCACCAAGATTCAAAAAGTATAATCTTCCAGGGCTTTGGGGGCTCCATAGATAGGTTTAAGTATGCATAAAACATTGTTGGATGTAATAAGTATATAAACACTGTGGTCCCTACACTATTAAAGCCCACAATTATCTGTTCCTTGTCTTTCCCCTTGAAACAACCCATTGAAAAAACACTTTCTACACAATATGAAAGACATCAAAAGAATGAGAAATAACAGCCAGACTTTCAATAGTTTCCTTCCTTAGAAAACATTTGCTGTTTTCTTCAAAACTGGCCTTTTGTTGTCAACAACCTTTTGTGTTCTCTATTTTAATAAATTACCCATTAAGGTATATTACCACCATCAACTATAGTCACCTACAGCCACTGCATTTAAAGGAAATGTATATCAACTGATGAATATATTCGTGATGCGCTTGCGTACACTGATAAAATGCAGGATACACACAATGCAAATATTGCTCTATAGTGTCACTAGTTGTCAAAAACCACAGGTATCAGGTGAGATAAAGCATTTACACATTTGTAAAGGTCGTATTACTGAGTGTATTAATGTATGTAATGTATGCAGCAGTTGCATATGATACCAAACCCAACCCAAACCTAAATATCTGAGCAACAGGGATCCCACAGTGTGTTCATTTCTACTCCAACCAATATCAAGCTTACCTTTTCAGTTGATTGTTAATTGCTTAATGTTCAAATTAGGGTAAACAAACCCTTTCAGCAGCAAGTCGATGATGGCTGTGAAATCCATTAAATTATTCAGTGTTCATAAATCTGTGAAATAACAAATAGAGTAAAACAATTTCATGTCATCAGTCCCCTGCATTTTTTTATTGTGAACATTCTGTCAACACAGATTCTTCTTCAGTGGTGGAATGTAACTGTAACCGTAGCTGTAACTGAATATGTACTATACTTATGTACAGTTTTGAGCTATTTCCTTTTTATGATACTTTCTGCTTCTACTTGACGACACTTCAGAGGGAAATATTGTACATTTGACTCCATTTGTTTGACAGCTACAGTTACATTTCAATCTAAGATTTTACACATATGGACACATATGAGCGGTTTATAAAATACAACAGATTGTTATAAATTAAACTAGCGATACCCAACCTTGTTTGGCTTATGACCTCTTAAAAAAGAGCAGTGTGTCATTGGGCCCCTTGCCACATTTCAGATGTCTGAGTTGTTACCAGCTCCACCAAACAGTGATCCCACCTCTAAACTTCTCAGACAGTTTGAAGGTGAAATTATTCAATAATTCACAAACAAATGTGTATAGAAAAGTTAAAAATGTTCACAGATTTTCATAGCAGAATCTGGTTCTTCTGTCTTTCCCCTCCTGTCTTACAACCCCCCAGATATATATTTATATTGTGACCCACTGGGGGGGGGGGTTTGGTCTTGCAGACCCCTACCAAACTAAATAATAAAGTAGTTAAAAGTAGCTCCACCTCAACGAGCTACAACAGTAAGATGCTACACACATTGAGGCATCTATATTAACAATCTATCTTGTATATGTCCTTTTTTCTTTTTTAAAAATCTGAGTACTTCTTCCATCACTGTTCTTCCTAAATGTATAGCTTTCCTTATGACGTAATGAACTAAACCTGCTACATATCTTCATTAATATTCTCATTCTGATTTGTCCAGATGGATCTCAGAGGAATGGGAGCATTGTACCAAAACCTGTGGCAGCCTGGGCTTTCAGATCCGGACTGTTCGCTGCGTGCAGTTTCTCCACGATGGCACCAACCGCTCCGTCCACAGCAAGTACTGCAGTGGGGAGAAGCCAGAGAGCCGGAGGCCCTGCAACAGAATCTCATGTCCTGCTCAGTGGAGGAATGGAGCGTGGTCAGAGGTTCAGTATTCAAAATATTTTCTTTTAAACTCTGGACTTCTTCTCAAGCCACAGATCCATCTGATTGATTTTATATTTTGATGTCAACTTGTTTCCAATGAACTAATGTCAGCTTACAGTTCACCTTTTTGCTGTAGTATTATGTCGGTGCAGTTGCAGCTTTAACATGCCTGACATGACTGATTTCTTAACGTGACAAGACCATGTATAAAAATAAAACATGAGGCATCTGATATTTAATTTAAAGCAGTGTCACATCTCATCTGAAAACACAGCAATTTTAGTTCCTCTGTTTCCTTCATCTGAATGAAACCTTTGAAACCATCAGAAAGTCCAATAAATCAGACATTCAGCTGAGTGGTGGAGAAGTAGATAAGAGCTAATAAGATGCAGTTCTTCATGTCAGCAGTTCATTTATGTGAGCTGATTTAGCTGCTTTTGATAGCATGGTCTATAGATCTTTATTATGTGCATGTATATGCACATTTGAGGTTGTAGTGATAGTAAAATAACATTGGTGTTGTTAAATTATCTTGTAATTTATTTGTGAGTTAATAGCAGATGCGTTTCTTTTCTAGGGTTTTAGCTTTATTTATTTATCTTGGATGGGAGTTAGTCAACATTTTACCATTTGAAGATTACTAAGTTCTGTTTCACAACCAGTTCATTTAACATTTCCACTGAGGAGATTTGGAATACAGCTGTTGTCAGTGCTGTTTTACTCAGGAGGAAACAGATTTCAGACTAATTGTCTCTCTGACATTTTCATTCAGTCACAGTCAATGCTCTAATCAAGAAATAAAGTCATATCAAGAAAAAGATCCACCAAAGATTAAGGATCCCCTACATCCAGCCGTCAGGCGGGCTGTGTGGATGCTGTAACCTGTTAACAAGTTCCTACAATCCAGCAATTTGCTTTAGGCCAATACTTTAATTAAAAAATTATAGGTTTAAATGCGCTGAGTGGTCATGCGGCTGACTAACTTAATATTTGGCACAACTCCTCCTTGTTCATCTTAAATTGAATTTGGGCTATCATTATGTGTGTTTTGAAGCTGCCAGAAGGAAACACAAAAAACATATTGCTACTTTATATAAAAAAAATAAAAAATGTAGATGTGTTCAGATCAGGACTCTTATCAAGAGGTGCAGATTAGATAATGCACACTGAAGTTATAACAACATCGTGTTCCATGGCTAAATGTAAATTTTCGACATTACACCATGCACATGCCTTTTGATTATGGACCTATTTAGAGTCTACTCAACAAATTTGATGTTGATTCGATTGGGATAAGGCCTGAAAATTGAAGAAAATGCCAAAATTTGACATTTAATTCACAATGGCAGGCTTCCAGTTGGGTTTATGGTATGGGTCCAAGAGTGTTTTTTTGTATATCTCGTTGAAACAGGCCACTGGGGCTGCTTAATTGAAACTTTCTAGGGGGTGGACTTTATTCCATGCAGATTGCCCTGTGCACTCGTACAGAGAAATCCAGTCTAAAGATGAATAACAAAGAGTCTCCATGCTGATGTTTTTGACAGGTGAACTGTGTAGCGAAACATTTTGTTTCTTGGTGGAGATTAAACTTCAGCCACCCAGTTATCCTGACATTTACTGTCGCCTGTGTGACCTGCCTGCACTCCTTTCTGCTCTGCCTCTATGCTCTATGTTCCTTTGCTGTATGTGAGTGAGTTGCTGTGTGTTCTCTTTCACAGTGTTCTGTGACCTGTGGAGAAGGGATGGAGAGACGTCTGGTCACTTGCCGGATTGGAGATCAATGTAGCGGAGAAAAACCCGAAACTGTGAGACCCTGCAGACCAGGACCCTGCCACGGTAAGCATGTTATTTCTCAAGAACTTCTAGAAATTCTAGCCAAACACTCAACATTATCATTATCAACACTATCAACATTACAGCACACTTGGCCTTGCCTTGTTCAGAATAAAAGCCAGTAACCCACATAGAAAAATTGTTCTGGCCTATAGACTCAGCCCAAATACAGCAATGAATTACAGCCCATATGTGGGCTAGACCTGGTGGCCACATATGGCCTATGACATAGCCAAATCTTATCCAACTGTTTGATACTGTTCTTGCCCTATGTTGGACAAGACTCAGCAGTTTCAATCAATCTTTTGCTATTTATCCAAATAAGGCCAGGGTGAGCTTGTAACAGTGCAGAGTGGAGGTCTGGGTGGGTTTGGGACCCCCATTAGGGGGGGTCACCAAAGCTTCATTGGCCTACTTGATTTTAAGAAGATTTTAAAAATAGGTCCATATCTCTGCATTTGGTTTATTTCTGTGAAGAAATATAAATGTTAAGTAAATTGTCTAATAGAACGATGGCCAAGCGTTAGGGAAAAGAAAACACAGAATTTGTCAAAAAAGAAGCTCAGTTAAGGAAAAAGGTTGGAAACCACTGCCTTAAACAGCCTTCGTCATTCTTCAACAGTCTTTCCTAGCATTCATTTTAATAAGAGCCTCTTCAATTCATAGTGTCGGTTAAGGCGTGTCACTCTTAAATGTCGACGTATGCCAGTTAGTATTTTGAATGCTTTTAATATAACATAAATGCCAAGTTGATATTTGCAGCCAAGATACACGGATAAAGTAGGATGAAGATGCAGATAACACACTTTCTTCTGTGCATAAAAACACTTGCTGTATATCCAAAATTGATCTATAGTATTTGTGGCTGCTATAGAGTATTACTTAAAAGGTTCTCAAGGGCTTTAAAACCAATATGGCATCCTGGATATACCGGGAATAATGACATCAATACATCATCTACAGCCCTATTGTCGATATTTACTCATTTCATTGAGCATACTAAGAAATTTAGGCAAAAACTGACCTTCTCTGTGGCATAAAGACTTAGCAATACCTTAGTACTTTTTCCAAGGCCACCTCTCACCACTTTTCAGCACTATGTGAAATACACTGTGCTCACACTGTATGTTCTTTGACTTTCAGATGAGCCATGTAATGGAGACAAATCCATCTTCTGCCAAATGGAGGTCCTAGCACGATACTGCTCCATTCCAGGCTACAACAAACTATGCTGCGACTCCTGCAGCAAGCGCAGCGGAGCTCTGTCTCTGTTTACAGAGGCGATTGAGACGGAGGAGCATGTTCGCTTTGGATCAGCCTCCCAGCTGCTAGAGACATTAACGGCCTCTGTCGCAGCCAACGGCACTCGCAGTGGTAAACAAGGCTCAGGCAAAGGATCCACAGGCAATGCTGCAAAACACGTTACCACCCCTGCCCCGCTTAAGAAAACCCAATCAAAGATCACTGCAGCACCAAGGCGGGTTCCCCGACACATGGGTCTCAGTGGCAGGAAGCTGACCGCTCTGGCACCATCCAGCCTGGTGGATCCTACTGAGGGTCAAAGGTTAAGCAGCTTGACAGATAGTCGGCCTACATCATATTCTGAAGTGGAGAGATGAAAGTGACGTCCTTCCCTTCAGGACTCAAAATGTACAGTAGATAATCCAGCTTCATCCTGAGTCTTCTTACGCCAAAAAACACCACAGAGAGAAACAGAGAAATAAATTAAAGTGCTGGTTCACTTTGTTGTTAAGAATTTCCCTTCCCTTTTGCCCCTGAAATTGACTTCTAAAATGACTTTGACATCTTCTGGAGAGCTTCCAGAGTATTTGGACTTAAACAGCCATGTTGCTTTGCTTTCACACTTAATATTGAGAGGAGACAATAATACAATAATTTACAGGTCCGAAGGGAATTTTTATCCATGTCAAATGAAAAACTGAATAAAACGCAGCTGTGGTAGTTCATAGTGAATCATTTTAGGGAAACAAAATAGCCAAAGCATGGATACATGAATTGAAGAACCATCTGTTTAGCTACACTTGCTCCCAATATAAAATATCTCTGTAGAGATTAAAAAGAAACGGTTGCTTAATTCCAACTAAACTCTTAACTTTTTGACACAATGAGTCTTGAAGCTTTCTTTGATGTCACCTACAGTGTCAAAACCGAGGTTGCAGGTGCAGGAATGTGTCTGTATGTCCCCTGTAATTAGTCTTTTCTCTCGTCTGGTCATTTAATGAATCAGGCCCCTGGTGTCTGCAAAGTGTCACAGCAGTTCCCCCCCCCAAACGCTCAGCAGACAGCGAGAGAGAAAATGTCAAAAGGTGTGTCATTATAGCTCATTCAATTTGAAAATTCATGCAGTTTTTAATCCTGATGCAGCTGAAAATCCCTTTTTACTTGAATGTTACAAATTGCCATTTTCTTGCCAAAAAATGAAAGCTTGACATGAAAATACCAGTATTATTTTAATAAGCTGAGGATACTTTCAAAGACCCTTTTAATCAATTAAATAACAAAGATTATTCCTAATGTTTACTTTGTCAGCAGCAATGTACATTTACAGTGCACTGTTCCACTCTAAAGGCTGGTGCTAGGTTCAGCTCATAAAAAAGTAGTTTGAAATACACTTATTTGCAGAGAGTTAGATAAGACGATTGATACAACTTTCATACCTGTACTGTAAATATAAAGCTTCAGCCAGGAGAACGTTAGCAAGTGTAGTAAATTTAGCAGGTAGAAACAGCTAGCCTGGTTTAATAATTAGGATTACCAATACCGCTGAAGTTCACAAACTAATGTTATATCTTTTTTTGTTTAAACCATACAAAATTGAAGTATAAAAACAAGACAAACAGATTTTGTTCCCTTTGGACAGTCAGGCTAGCTGTTCTGCCTGTTTCTAGGTGCTGCACTGTGCTAAACTAACTGTCCCCTGGCTTTCATGTTTAATGTGCAGACATGAGAGTGGTATCATTCTTCAAAAATGAAAGCAAATAAACACATTTCCCTAAATGTGAAACTATTCCTTTAAGAAGCATCCTATACAAGTTACTTCATCCCAGCCTTTACCTTTTTCTTTAATCAAAAGTTTGTATGGTGCTAGCCATTGACCATTTGGACTCTTTGTATTGCCCTCCTTGTCAAAGTTGTTGCTCAGAAAGGTTGAAGGTCAAAGAAGGGAACTGTTAGGGAAGTGTTACGTGTTAAATTATATACAGCCAGCTCTTGTTCAGCTTGTACAGACTAAAACACGTGAACATTTTACCATGCAACTGACATATGTTCTTCTGTTTTACTTTGAAGTGACTATGAAATATGCAAAAACCCATCTTTAAATGTTAAGTGTTGGATTTGCAGATAATGTTTTATATTGACTATACTAAAAATTTCAAAAACTTAAAGCTTCATTAAGCATTTTTTGACCACTAGGGGCAGAAAGACTCCAAAACAAACTCACAGTACCACAGTAAGTCCAATATTCACTCTCCTTTAAACTCTGTTTTGGTCTTTACCAACTCCTGTGGGAAATATCTGTCTCTTCGGCTGCTAGATGTTCAACTTTCTTCACCAGCTAAACTACTTGTTTATTTTGGCCCTCTGCTGTTTGGTACTGGCTGAAATACACTCAGCTTTTTGATTTTATCTGGGGGAGTTGACGGGGGCCAAACTGATGTGCTATAAGCTGTGTAGTACAGAGTTGGGTGTTAATTCTCAGTGGGTTCAGCACTGTGAGTGACCCTTTCACATTACACACAGTAATTTTTATCAATTTTAATATCAAAAATCTTGCTTAATGGAGCTTTAACTCATTACATAATTTCACATTTAGTCTGAACAAGGTTTTGTTGAACATTTTGCATTTAATGTAAGCACAAGAAGCTGGACTTTCAAAAGAATATTACTGTATGTGGAACATGTTTTTCCAAAGTATTTCCTAAATGGCTTTTTTGTGGTGGAAGAAGGTTCAGGAGAGAGAAAGCTATTTATTTATTTTTTTCAAGGATTTCCTCACAACCACCATGCATCTGACTGCAATAGCAAGGACACAGTTTTGTGTTTTAAGCAAAGAAATAGCTTGCAACTATTCACACTCACTCCTGTGTGCCAATGTATAGTACATGTATATAGCATTGAGTACATAAATATTTATTGAAAATTAAAGGGTTCTGCTTTGTTTTTACAGAATGTGCAGTACCAGCTGGTCAATAAGCTGCAGCAGATAAACCATTGAAAACTAATCACATTCATGACAGCCTTTTTTTCAGCCACATTTAAACATTTTAAAGAGATTTTTACTTAAAAAAAACAAACATGATAGACTAGAAATTACATTGTTTTTTGCAAACAGTTAGATGTAAATATACATGCTCAATTTTGAGATGTTTTACTTGTTGTCAGAAAGCTGTCTTTTCTCAGCTGTTTTGTAGAAGTTGTTAACAGAGCTGTTACATCACAGCAACATGTACTGACCAAAAAAATGCTTTATTTTAACTAATAAAACATAAATAGTGTAGTACCAATAAACCAGAAAAGTTCTTTTTTATGCTGTTTGTAGTTATCAGTATTGTCTAACCATTTTACATTTCCCTCCCCTGATCTTTTCACACCCTTTACTTGCTGCCTATACAACATTGCTGCTAATGTTATACAGAGCTTGTAATGATAAATAGGGTAGTTGTAGATGTTACATTGACAATCCCTGAGCCTCAGACAGATATTACTGCATAGGATTCTCCATGTACTGTATCGATACCCCTGTGCTATCCGTGCATTGAAGTATTATGATTGTCAGTCACTCTCTGCTCTATTCGCTTTTCTATGTATTTGTGTAGATTGAAGTGTACACTACTGATGCTGTTTGTTGTAATGGGGAGCACATAGCAATAAAAGATATGATTAACTACTTTGATGTTATGCTTTCAAGCTTTCTCCACCATCATTAATGCATCTGTGAGGATCAATATTGTATTATATAGTATAAGTCAAGTTAAGTTGGATTTATATAGCAAAAAAATAAAAATTCCTCTCAAGGCTGTGCAATCTGTAACAAAAAACAAAAAAAAGCGATATCAATTTCTGGCATTTAGATTGCCTCCTTTCTGAAGTTCCACCCCATAGTCCCAACCAGCACCCCTAAAACTCACTAATTAACATGTTGGATCTCTTTTGTTTAATCTGTACACAAACAGAAATGTAAAAAGTTTAATGGTTTTACAGATTGTTACTTCCTACAACTATTTTTTAGCAAACACCAGCTGGGCACAGTGACTTCCTGGAGTCTCCACTGGATGTTTGGCAACCTCACGCTGAAGACACCAGGAACATTTAGCATGTTTTGTTTTGTACGGATTTTTTAGTGAGCTAGGTGGTTATATACAGACTATTCGTTACATTGATTTACTTGCGGTGACCACACTATCAACACTGACAGCCACATATTGATTGTCCATGTATTTATTTTCTATTTTCAGCAGCAGGTTAATATGTATTTGGCACACAATGTATGTGGGATCTACTTCAAATAAACTACAGTGCCCATGTTGAATGAAATGAAGGAACATACCACACAGTGCAACGTTGTGACTGACTGATGCGTTTAATAGTTTTGTACAAAATAGAGCTCATTAGAGAAAAAAATATTGAATATTACCACCCATATATTTTAAATAGAAAGACTTACAGAAATTACAAAAAAATTTTACTCATATCTGTGAAGATGACCTGTAAATCAAACTTGATGGTAGTCTCTAATTTATAATATTCTGAGACTGAGAAAAGACAAAGCAGTGTATGTAAAATATGTAATCAAGTCACTGTGCTTTAATCATGTTTTGTCATGTATCCCAACCGTGGTTAGTAGTAAAACAGTAATTTATATGAATGTCTTGCAGAACTGTGGAGACCTGTATAGTGACAGAGCTATCATGCCCTTCCAGAACCAGGTTACAAACTGAAGAGAAAGTCTCTGTTAAATCTCATTTACTGTTTGAGCTTGGATTATTGATTGCTAAGAAAATTAATGTAAAAAATTCTATCATATGACAGAACAACTTACACTACAGGGTTATCTATTACTGTGTGCAGCATATTATTTTCTTTCCAAGCGCTTCCTGCGTCATTGGCAGTCCTCACAGTAATGCAGTTGCATTTGAGGACAACATGCAGTGAAAATGTGACATCAGGTTTCTTTTTACAGCAGAACAGTGGACAGAATGTCAAAACTAAATGTTTTATTTTGTGCCAAAAAAGGGGAGAAAGCATCATGTTTGGTTTCTTGCACCACACTGACTAAAATTGCGGGTTGAATAGTTATTCAATTAAAATAATTTATCATTACACGTAATTACAATAATTTCTTCCTTTTCTTTACTCAGTCACCGACTCCAAAACGAGGTTGACATCTGTTGCACTAATCACATCTCTGACTGAAGAAGTTCATTGATTTACAATCAATAATTACGGTCGGTATAGGGCTTATTAACATTTAGACTCTCATACATGATTTGCACTTTCTGTGGCTCACAGAGACACATTTCATTGTTCATTCATTGTTATTGGCCAGATTTATTAGTTTAAGTGAAAGGTTTTCATTATCTGACACACAATAGGCCCTGCAGATGCATACTTTAATTTAGACAATATATTTCTAACTTTGTGGCACCCTTTTCAACACATTTGTGATGAACTTGAACACTGACTGAAAGCCAGACTGCCCAACATTGCTGGGTTTAATAACTTATTTCATATTTTATTTTGATAGAGACAATTGCATAGCATGGACTAATGTTACCTACTAAAACATGTATAGCACAAGCTAGATGATCCTTCCTACACACATATTAAACATAATATATTAGGTGGCATTGCATAATCTTTAGCAACATTTAATTGAAATAAAATGTGCACATCTACCATTCATACGCCTTTCTGCAATATTCAATAAGTTGTCTGCACAGCATGATTCAGATTCTGGTTATTAAATTTCTGACAGCAGCAACAAAGGCTTAGTGTGCCTGTATATGGCAAATATCTCCCTGGTATTAATATCCATTTACACTATGAAATTATTTATATTGTAAGCCTCTAGAGGGGAAAGAGCTAATATGGACAACAATAATCCAATACTAAATTAGTCTGGTTGGCTATTTCAACCTTTTAATAGGGATTTTGATTATTTCCAACTACGATGTAATTCTTTCGATCCAAACACTTTCCTAGTTACTCGTATTGCTACAGATGGCTATTCTATTTTGACTCAGCTCAATGGGATTAGCTGCAAAATGGATTTATATAAGGCATGATTAAAAGAGCCCTTAAAATATCTGGGAAGTTTTTCCAAATACTAAAAAACTAGAATTCTAGCTATCATTCTCATTCTGCTCAGTGATGAATCTTTTTGAGAAGTTGAGGAGACATGAGCAACACTTCAAAAACGTCTCCATAGGTAATAATAAAACCCCAGAAAAACCAAGGTACCAAGGCTGGAGATATCAGTGCATGTAAACCTCTGAGCTCTCTTGAGAAATGGGATGAGACAGAGGCACCACAAACACAGGAGCAGAAAGAACCGAGGATGACACAATGCTGGTGCAGTCAGCAGTCACTCTGCTCAGGAAAACACAGGAAACGGGTGGGGGATGGGGCTTATACATAGATTATATATATAAAAATATACAAGAACTGCTTTTTTTTTCATGTTTTCTCATTTTCCTTCTAGTGTAATTATGTTACATGCAGGGCAATATTTTTAATGAGCAACCAGTACGTCATCATATGACTTACTCTCATTGTGTTACTTTTCCTAAGGCGCTCAGAGCTCAGGCATTTGACACTGAGCCAGTAGCCACTGTGCATGACTGATGAGGGCTTATCCTCTGAGCTGACACACTATAAACTACTTTGCACTTGGGTGGCTGCTTTTGGCAATGCTGCAGAAACGTGACGTAAGCCTACTGTAGAAAAGCCACAAGCCTGCGCCGACGTTTGATTTTCTTACATCTTGACCTTCAATTCAATAACTGCTCCAGGCCAAAATTATCTGATATTTCCCAAAACGCAGACGCACAACAGCAGTCCATAGTTTCAATGAATCTAAATTTGGGGAGCAGAAACTTTTCTCTTTCTTCTTTCCTCTCCCATTAATCATCTCATGACCTGGAGACTTATTCCACCACTGAGAAAAAGTATCACCCTGCCCACATACTTTTATCTACTTTTGGTCTGGAGCTGTTTTTTATGGTTTAGACCTCTTAGTCCCAATTAGGGAAAACTTGTGATATTTTAAACCAGTGGTTCCCAACCTTTTGGTTTCTGAGCCCAAAACAATGTCTACATCCTCGTCTTCTAGTAGTGGCCTGATTTAGAATTTGTTTCCTTGTTTTAGTGGAATAGTTTTTAGACAATATTAAATTATTATCAATGGTATGATGGGAAGTATGAAAAAATAAACATAACTTTGTGTTTTTTTCTGCTTTCCTCCTGTGTTAGTCTTTTTGCGACCCCTTTAATTTGTCCTTGTTTTAGATAATAGTGATAAATGAATGCCATTTATAGATAGCACTTCAATCCAAAGTGCTTTAAAGTCTTTCATTTCATTGGGTCCATTGTCTCTTTCAAGGATACTGAGACTTGGATTGTGTGGAGCCACAACAACAGAGGCAACAGACAGGGGTAAGCCATTTCCTGTTTCAACATGACAATGGCCCTGTGCACAAAGCCTAAAGAAATGTTTTTCTCAGTTGGGTGTGGAAGAACTTGCCCTGATCTCAACCCCATCCACTTTTGGGATGAACTTTAACGCCAACTACATAAAAAACTTTATCAAGTAAGGATGTGATTTCCACAGGTATGAAGGGTACATGTGCCCTTCAATTTTTAAGATCCTACTTTTGACCATGTGATTGGTGGGGGTTGCAGGTGCTGTACTCAGCCTGACAACAAGAATCTATTCAGGCTGTGAAAATGACATAAATCAGAGATAATTCAGCTCCTTTTGGAATTAAATTCCATTTTCAGTAAGGATAGATAATATAGCAATTATCTTTTTACAGAGCAGTTGTAGTAATTATGATGGGAGCAACAGAGGAAGTTTGGTGATGTTGTTAGCCTCAAAGTCTGTGAGGGAGGGAGTAGGGAGGACGTCAACATCGGACATGTTAACACTGTTTGTTTCCTGTTATTAAACCTTTACAAAGTACTTATTTTAACCCAAACCACTATCACTCAAAGTCGTTTTCATGCCTAAACTTAGCTAAACCATTGCGTTGCATAAAAATAAATGCATATTAATGCATGAAATAGTTGGTTATTTCAACTTCTTCTTTATTTCCTACACCCTTATTAACATTCAGAATCAATGACTGGCCCTCACTAATGAATTTGCAGCTAAATGAGAGCACATCCCTTTAGCCAGGGTGTAATGTTTGCAATTCCACATACTTTTGGCCATGTAGTTTGTACAAATATTTAAATTCTGCTTTCTAAGCTCTTATGCAGTAGCTTACATTAAATATGCTCTTTAAAGCCCCTGAAAACTTGACTGCAAACAATAAACAACAATCAAAGTTTTAAAAACCATTTATTTTTTTTATTAAGAATTTAATTCTCAAATCATTGTTAAGTAATCTGCTTCATCAGGATGTGGGTGTGGTTTGATCTGATTTAATTTACTGTGACCAAATGACTGAAACCTCTCATGTGAAATAACCACTAAAATATTCAGAAACTTCTGTGCAGTGAGAGCAGCATCTTAAAGTCTGCTCTTCAAAGAACAAACTTTATCACGTGTTCACCTGAAACCAAGGACATGTACAAGAGCTGTCTCAAAGAAAGAAAAACATTTAAGGGTGATTTTATGGTAGCTGTGGTAACTTTACGTATCCAGTCAGTGGACAGATGAATGTA